GTGACAGCTGTATACATGCACATGTCAAAGGCCAAGCTAAATCCAGCCTGTTATTCACTCACTATGTTTTGAAATAGTTTGTTACAAAGTCCCAAGAACACGAAAGAAGTTGGTCATTTCTCTGCACATCCTCATAGTCTGATTTATGCCAGAGAGCCTGGCGAAAGAAGAAACAATTCCTCTTTCTACAGCCTCACGCCTCAAGACTTCTGGAAGTGTTAGTGTCATCTTGCCATCCACTTAACCCTTGCAATAGCACTAGAAGTGGGATCAAGAGAATTATCCATTTTTTATTAACTTATTCAAAATCAGTTTGTCTTTATGCTCCCACAATCATTGGAACTCACTTTTACCAGTGCTTCTCTACCCACAAGCTGTTCAAGATGTTTAGAATATCTTACACAAAAAGCCCTATCACTAATCTACCCTCCTCCAGGCTCTGCACTTCCATGTCCTGCTCTATTTTGCTTTGCTTTGAGAAAGCTTCTCACACTACCATTAATTTAGAAAACTTCCTATGAATGTTCACAAATTCCCACTGTTATTCAGAGACTCCTCAATGACTACCAGAAGTTCTGACAGTCAGAACTCACTCAAATTACAACAAGCTAGTCTATTATTTTCAGTTTAATTTTCCACAAGCCCTTAAGTACAGGTGTTTATGTGCTTACCCAGGACCTTGTTCCGTGGTACACTGGGGCTTCCTAGGGAGACAAAACATCTGCAAAGCCATCAGTACAGAGAAATCCAGTGCTGAATGAATTTCTGAAGCTGAACACGATTAAGTAAGAAAGTCCGAAGGCAACAGAGAACTGCAGCTCCTCAAGAGAAACTCCAATATGCTTAAGTAACTAAATAACCAACCACTCATACTGCACACTCCTTACTCAGACATTACAAGCCCAAGTCACCTTTGCCTTCAGTCCCACCAGGCTGAGGGAAGAAAGCTAATCCAGAGGATGGAAAGAGCACAGGCAATGTCTATCACCCTTTAAAAGTCAAAAGATCAAAGCTTGCTTTCTAAGCAGCAGCAAATCATTATAAAGTCAACTTAATTTCCAAGTGGCACTAAGGAGCTACAGTTCCTAATCAGGTAATGAAAGTACCTCTACTTTGCTATTACGCTACCTGCAATTTGTCCTCTCCTTCACATACCAATATTCCTTATGACTCAAAATTTGCCTGCCAAGAGGTATTGAGGAACTTGTACAGCTATCAGGGGTTGGCTTCCAGACAGCAAACTGGATACAGCTGTTCCTTGGTAATAGCACTGTCAGGAACAAGTTCTTGGTAGCAGAGTCACACTACTTTCCTGTAAAATCTAGCCAGATGAGAACAGAATTCCTTCTGGAAAACCTAAACTACAGATTCTGCCAATCCTCTATTCCCTGCTTTTCCTTCTTAAAGCAGGGAAAGCACAAATAGTCTATGCACAGGAAACTGTTAAGCTCATCCCTCAATTAGTCAAGGAAAAATAAAGCAAGAAAACCTCCACTGTTGCTACCCACATAGAATAAGAAAGATACTGAGAAAATGTGTAATTTTAACTGCTTCTAAACTATAGACTTTCCCAGACAAGAACGTAACAAGTCAAAGTTGAGGAGAAAATCACCTATAAATAAATTGCTGTGGTGCCCAGAACACCAGCACCCTTCCAGAGGATATTCTTAGAATTGCCCTTGGTAATACACACAATAAACCAGATAATGGAAATCATTGCTTCAGCAGGATATAAAACTTCTCTCTTTTCATAAAGGTACTCATTGTGTAAACTGTTCTTTGAACAATAACCCAAACATCTGCATTAACGAACAGAAGCCCGTTAAACAACGCTCCTCCTTAGTCATGACAGGAGCCATCTGTTCATCCAGCCAACCCAGCTAACCCCAGGCAAGTGTGGCAAGCAGCACCACAACTTGCTCACGTTATGCATCCTTGTACTCCATGTTTCAGTCCATGTTATTCGTGTTTCCAAACTGCAACAACACAGCATTAATCATACCACAGATGTATTAACACATAAACCCTACATTAAAAGTTCCAAACAGAAAAGAAAATTATCTCTGGTCTTCAATTAAAAGACACAAGCAGGCCATAGCCTTTCACACACAGGGATGCCAGCTTGTACTTTCTGTAGTCATTCTTGTCCTGTTAGATGTACTTTCTCTTTTCTGCCTTCCTATTCTAGACATTTTTTTATGTGCTTAGCCTAGTTGTTCTTTCAAGCGGATGCTACTTTTTAAGGGGACGCTTCATGGAGTTTACTGGATTCTACTCAAAACTCCCACTAAATTTCAAGGGTTAACCTTTGCGTCCAGAAATACTTGGGTAGGTCCTGTTATTCCAAAATTCAGTGCCCTCCTGAAGTGAATATCTTTTCGCGCATCTTGCCCACGCAGCTCTACCAGCTCCCTGCTCTCACTACTGCCGAGGGAAGCAGCTCATCACTTACAGCTGCTGGATTCGCCCGTGCACTGACCAGACCCGGGTACCCACCGCAGACAACAAAACCACCCGCCTCGGCAGACACACGTCTCATTGTGTTAAAACCCGGCGTGGGCAGAGTCGAGAGTCAAGGGGGAGAGACCCGAGCCCTCCCAGCCCACGGCTGCGGCGTGTGTGCGGCTGCCGCCTGCAAGGAGGGAAGCGGGGACTGCTCCGTACCTGACCCAGTTGTCGCGGAACTTGCTCTGCTGGGGCTGGTTCAAGTAAATGGTGCGGGCTGGTGCCTCGTCCAGATCCGCCGCGGACGTGGCTCCGGACATCTCATCATCCGCCTTCTTATAGCCCGAGGTGGAACAGACAGGTCCTGCAAGGAGAGCGCGGAGGGCAGGCGGTCAGCGAGGGGCCGCGCCCAGCGGAGCCGGGCCGGCAGCTCCCGGGGCCGCGCCGCGGGGAATGGGCCGCGGGTGGGCGGCGGCTGCGAGCGCGCCCTGCCCGCTGTTTACCGCGGCGCCGGCTGTAAATAATGCGTGTCCGGGGAGGGGGCGGCGGGGCCGGCCTCAGCCAGCTGGCGGCGGGGACAGCGCGGGGCCCGAGCCCCCCGCCCCGCGGGGATGGGCCGGGCCCGCCCCGGGAGCGCCGCCCCCGCTCCCGCCTGTGTCAGCGCCGCTCCCGCCGGGAACCGCCGGGCGGCCCCCCCGCCCCCGTATCCCCGCCTCCAGCCGCCTAGGCTCCGAGGGAGGGAGGGAGGCAACCAGCATCCCCCGCACCGCCGCGGGGCTCCGGGTCCGCTCGGTTCCTTGGCGCTGCCCGCCCGCGCAGCGCATCCCGAGCGGCCGAGCCCAAAGCCGCGCTCGGAGAGCGGCGCAGCATCCCCGCCAGAGCTCTCCCAGCCGCTTTCCTCCGCCCCAGACACCGTACGGGGGCTACGGCCGGGCGTCTGGGGAGTCTGTCCCTAAAGCTAAGGCTCAGACTGAATTAGTAAAAAAAAAGGCTGTCTTGCTTTACACGTGCAACTTCAAAGCTTTGACTTTAAGCGGCAGAAGCGTAAAGTAATTTTCATTTCCCACTGGTCTGGAGTGAATTGAGTTCTATACACATTGTTTACCTTTACATTAAAAGAATGCAAAAACATAAGGGAAAGGAGCTAGCTATTTCCTCTGTCAAGCCTCAAAACATTACCGAAGTTGTGGAGACAGATTTACTGCTTTCCACTTCCCTCTTGAGCCATGGAGATACTTTAATTTAGTTGAGCTGTAAATATACTAGCTAAGAATTTATCAGTTTACTAAATAAGCCATGATTTACAAGCTAGCACAGGTAGCTCTAGACAAGAGTATGACAACTTGTTTCATAAGAATGTAGTAAAGGTGTTAACGTTATTTGAGAACTTCATTCAAAGGTTAACAGAAGCAATAAACTGTCCTGTTTATTGTTATTTAAGCTGCAAAGCAGTAAAACTACTGTAAAGCCAAATCTATTTCTGTATGAAGCTACGATGATACTGCAACAAGCTCATCTGATCAGACAGTGGCTAGAAAGGACTCCTGCAATGAATGGGGGAGGCCCCTGAAATTACATCCTCCTTAACTAAAGTTAGAGGGAAAATTTTCAGTCCTTTACAGCCTTGGCATATCGAACACCTAAGTACTCGTGCTGTGTGAAAACCTGTCCTGTTTAACAGAACACCCTTATAAACTAACATCCTGCTCATCCCAGACCTTCCCACGGTTTGGTTCTGTACAGACTCGGTATTCTCCAGGCGTCAGCCACTGGAGGGCAACGCAACCCATTTCTCGTACACCACGGTCATGCACACAACCTTTGCGGGGCCAATAAAGCCGATGTAATTAACAGACTGATGTGCTTTCAACAGCACCGCCTCTTGCCCAAGGCAAGTGTTGCACGCTGTGAAGTCATACTTTGGAGACATTAGGCTTACTTGCAAGCTTCGAGGCTAATTAATCGATTTTCATTCATTTCAGCTGATACCAATGCAGACAGCAAAAATATGCCAGCTTGACCATTTTTACTTTGTGAAAAGAGACAAATTCAGAAAGTGAAATATGAAGACTATACACTATGCAAGGCTATGCCATTATAATACTATATTAAGTTACTCAGCCTGAAGAAGCTTGACATGACAGAGAAGACCACTCAGCCTTGCTGAATGGATATTTTCCCCTTCAGAAAAACAGAACTAAATGCACTACTGGATATTTGTTGTCCTTTCCCATTGATTTCATGTTGTGTAACTGCAAAGGAGATCAAACAACAATACACTTAAGAGCATTAAGTGCAAGGAAGCAGCTTTCATCAGTTTTCCTAATCAAGTGCCAGAAAAAAGTGCAATTATTCTAGAACAAACATGCTGTAAAAAATGTTGTTTTTTTCCAGAGACCTTATTTATTTGGGGTTTTTTTCGTAACATCCTCTGATGATTGGAATCTTCCTGCTGACTAGTTCTCCTTGCTGCAAAGTAGTATGAGGCTATCCCACAACTTTAAGGATTAACTGAGTCAATACAGCTGATGAAGTTCAGAGGGATTTAGGTTTAATTAATGTACTACCCTTTTGGCTGCTCTCTTCAAGACAGGTGCCTCAACAGCAATTCGTCTCATTCTTTAGATGCACTGAAATATTTTCAAAGCAGACTTACAAGTGTGTAGCAACAGCTGTAATAAAGTTTTGGGTTTTGAAAGTGGCTCAAGGCAGCTGCTTCAACTTTTAGTGGAATAAGGCTCATTTCTGAAGATTGTCTGGTAATCCTGCCCATCAGGAATGCCTTCCACCTCCCTCCCCTGTTATTAAGCAGATCACATCCAAAAGCCTGCAAGCAGCAGCCTTTACTATTGGATGTAGATCCTCTTCTTTCCCTGTATTTCCAAAAAATTTGAGGAGCCTTGAGCTTCTGAGGGCCTCCTGGCGGGCATCACCGCCTTCAGAAGTACCCCCCACAAGGACATCTGACCACATGCAGACCAGATCATCACTTCAAAAGTAACTTCACCCTTGTCTCTTGTTTCAGAAAGGCTGTGAATAAACATAGCAGACTTGACCACCTCCAACAGTTGTGGAATTTGAACCTGAAGGTCTAGCAGTTCTTACTCACAGTAGCATTTACTTCCTCATATCCAGAGGATTAAGACCCATTGACTTCACTTAGGGACATACCAACTTGTTACTCTCTCCCACAAGACATGGACCTTTCTTGTTTTTGACCCTAGGACTTGCAACTCTGCTATGCAATTTATTTTGCACCAAACTATTCATGCTACAATTAGTAGTATTAATAACAGACCACTGTATCTCATAGCCTCTTCATTGAGCATGTTTTTAGCTACATCAGATTTTGAATGTCCTAATCATATTGATCTTAAGTCTGCATCACACAATTGTTTAGGTTAGAAAAGATCTTTAAGATCCTCTAGTCCAAGCATGAACCCAGCACTGCCAAGTCTTCTGCCAAACCGTGTTCCAAAGCATCAAAACTACTCATTCCTTAAGCATCTTCAAGGATGGCAACTCAACTACTTAGATCCTTGTGGAATTTAAACATTGTCTAACACACCTTGCTTCAATTCTGAGGCATGAGACACTTTCTGCAGGAGTTTAATACTGTTTCCCCACTGTGCTTTACAAGTTCAATGAGTCGGACATGAGTTATAAACTCCCTTATAAAAAGCTCATTCATTTCTTCAAGGCTCTTACTTCACACTATTTAATGAAGTTTCTTCTAAAAAAAAGATGTGATTAAAGTTTGACAAAAATAAAGAGATTTTATAGCTTTCTCTCATCATTAAGAGAAACCAGACTTGATGCCCTGACAAATTCACATGGCATTTATTATCACTCAAAAAGCAATGAGTTATGGTTTAATACTCTTACATCACTGGGCCTGCAAAGATGACATTTTTCCATGTGCATCTGTCTCCTTAACGTCTGCTCAGTAACAGTCATAGCTTCTGCATGATTGAGTAAATAAAGCATTGTGAATTCTGTAGTGTTTTGAAAGACAAGTCACTTGGGATGCTCGTCAACTGTCAGAAGTCACAAGAGAACTCATGCCGAAATTTTGTTACTTTTCACTTAAGTAGATCAGTGAGCTAGTTACTACTTCTAGCTTGGTGATGTGCTTGATTGCTCCAACATGTGTTCCATTTTTAAGAACAAGTGATTATAGAGCAGTTAAGCCCCTCACAGAAACATCAGAACTACAAGCTATGAGAAAGAGCTGGTTTGTACAGGAGAAGTTCACCAAAGGCGTCATGTCGTTTAGAATTAAAGCAATGTTAAGAGTGTTTACAGTCAAGAATCATACTTCTGATTCTGCACACTGTTTGCAGGACTAGGATCTAGTACAAGAAAGTGCTAAAGTACACTGAGGTAAAGAAGCTGCCCCTATTAGAGAACAGAGTTGGCTACAATCTCCAGGGGTCCCCTCACCTCAAGCACTCTGTGCTTCTAAGCTTAGACAGTCACAAGTCAACGTTTTAGCAGCCATACAAAGTTCCATGAATGCTCCCAACTGTACTGACAGTTTTAAATTGAGACATAGGAAAGACAGGTTTCCTCAGAGTGAAAGAGAGCCTCACCAAAAGCCTCCAAACTTTCTCATTTATGAAAACATGGCATTTTTTTGATTGGTTAATTAATTAATTTAATTAAATTGGTTTAATTAATTAAGCCTCAAAGAAGGAGTTATCAAAGCAAACACCTGAGAAGCTAAGAGCTGTATTTAGAGAGGTGGCAGACAAGTTTGGACTTTTCCTTGCACTGAAATGCAAATTTGGCCCTCAACAAGCAACATGGATTCAGTAACATGCTCACTTTCTTGGGATAACACTTTTTTCACAGGATTACCATAACAGAGTACCAAAGATGACACCAGGTAAGGAGTTCTGCACTTCAGAATTGTCAACAAGTTCACATACAAACAATGACTCTGAAGCGTGACTAAATGCGTTTGTTTTACCTGAAATATGCTATTTCTTGCACTATTTTCATAGCTGCTTTCACTGTTCAACAGAAATGCAGTTCAAAGTTAATCTGGAAGTGCATAAGATAGGAGTTCAAAGAGGCAGAGCACAGCATGCTGCCAACGGGGGACGCAGGGCATGAACTTCAGCTACCAGGTCCTCCAAGAGAGCTTTGTTCCACAGGACTGGGATATTTTGACCTTGAGTTATAACCAGTTCATGGGAAAAAAACCCTGATGAACAGTGTTATGGTTTTAATTCTTAAGAATTTAGAAAATTGCCACAGTGTTCAACAGTGTAACATTGTAGGCAAACATTCCAACATACTCATGTCTGAACAAAGGAAGATATGGCAGATTTCACAGTGGAGCTTTTATTTTCTA